AAAAAAAAAAGGTGCGGGAAAAAAAATTTTGCGTGGGAAACACCCCCACTTCTAAAGAGGCAAGGAGAAGTGAGGTTCTTACCCACGAAAGCTTATGCTCCCAGTACTTCTGTTAGTCTCAAAGGTGCCACAGGACCCTCTGTTGCTTTTTACAGATTCAGACTAACACGGCTACCCCTCTGATACTGGAGGAAATCCTGTGGCCTATGCTACACAGAAGGTCAGACTACATGATATAATGGTCCCTTCTGGTCTTAAAATAAATGCATCTGTAAACCACTAAAGCTATTAGCAATATTCCTATGATGCAGTCAGCCTTACCTAGCTATTCAAGGAGAACTGCTCTAGATTTTCTGGCTACAGGGAAGAATTAAATACATTTTGCATAGAAGATCTCACATACAAAATCACGGACCTTGAGACTATTCAATAAGCAGAATTGTCAGTACATTTTTAATCATACACCTGTAGCTGTTCAAACTGTGCACACAGCCCAATCTATAGCTTTAAACATTGCCTTCCCCAGCCTCTCCGAGTCGTACTCCTATTGCTGACAAGCTTTCAGTTAGGCAATCTTCGCCTTTCCTACAGAATTCATTACCATGGTTATCTAAGGGTCTTCAGAAAACCAACAGTCAGCGTTAGTACGAGCACCCTTTTCCTCCTCAGAGATCTTCAAACACAAAACCACTCCCTACTCTCTACATCGGAGATGAACTCTCTAACTACAGCTCCCTTTTCTATAGTTACAAGTCTCCAATGGATCAATACAACTACATTTTGAGGGACATTCAATTCTGAGCCTGGAATTTGCTCCTACAATCATAATTTGTGATTACAGTAACTCATGCTCACGAATGAATGACAAAATGTAGATTGCAACTGCTTGCAGTTGAACGGCGACATTCTGTAACAAGCATATTAGTTAACTGTGAGGCAAAATTAAATGCTGCTCTTAAAAATGAGGCCGGTCTTTCAGCACAGAGGGGTTTGGGACTCTGTAACCAGACAAGACACAAGGAATAGAATTCTGAAGTTACCCGTTGCTAAATTCAAGATATCAAAAGTGGAAAATGTGGGTAGCAGGGCGCCATGCAAACTCAGTGAGTCTTTTCAGGCAGATAAATGCCTAGGGAATATAAATTCATGGAGCCTTTCACAGAGTACAGGTTACATGTCCTGAGCTACGGCACCAATGGGCAGTTTTGCAAGGTGCCAAGTGCCTTAGACATTCATAGAACCCGGCTGCCTTTAGGACAAATTTGACATCCAGGAAAGTAATGGGAAGCTAGTGTGTGCAAAAATAGTATTTCCTCTCAACCGCCACAAACCCAGAGGTGGAGGAAATTCAAGTAGCCTGTCACACTAGTTGATGCTTTAACTGAGTCAAGGTTTAGACCCTCAAACTGCTTTAACCCCTCCTCCCCCTAGAGCTGGAGGAACAATGACCTGGAAGGCCACTTACAGCCCTTTCTTTGACACCAGGGCAGGTCCATGCCAGTGTGGGACAGGGAAAATGGAAGAGGATTCTCCAGCTTCGCCTCTGAAGGGGGGACTAGCTATGGGGGTTAATGCTCTGCAGAGACCCTACAAATATACAATAGCCAATACAAGTTCAATAACATCCTCCCCAATCTCTGAGAGGGAGATACCAAGTGCCAGACCCCCAAGTTGAGCCAGTTCCTCACACACACACACACACACTTCCAGTAAGGGGCCCGGGGAGGGGAAGGTATGGAGCCTGTGCGTACATCCAGCCTGCAGCCGGGGAGGAGCGAAGGTGGGAGAGCAGCACCCAGCCAGTCCGTGCAACAGGCAGCACCCAGTGAAAGAGGCGCGAAGAAATGCCCCAAATTAGCCACCCTGCGCCTCCCGCCCATCCCGGGAGACAGGCACCAGGGTACACCGAGCAGCCCTCTCCCAGCAGACACCAACTCCGGGGGGTACACACCAAGCAGCCTGCCCCCAGCAGCAAGTACCAGCCCAGGGGTGCACCAAGCAGCTCCCCGCAGCAGCAGGCCCTGGGGGGGAGCACCGAGCAGCCTCCCCGCCAACAGGGACCAGCCCCGGAGGTGCACCGAGCAGCTCCCCCCAGCAACAGGCCCCCGGGAGGGAGCACCGAGCAGCCCCCCGCCCCAGCAGACACCAGCCCCGGAGGTGCACCGAGCACGCCCCCCCCCCAGCAGGCCCC